ATAAAACCGTGTTAAAGGCCCGTTCACACAAAGGAAGATAACTACAACTACAAGTTATCTTAAATATAAAGAATAGCAGAGTCCACACCGCATAACAATCACGACGAGAAACCAGGTTTTCTCACCAGCTGATAATCGTTAAAGACGCTGACAGCCAATCAGAATTCATCCTGCTTTAAACAGCGCGAACATTTAAAGCTACAGACGGAAAAACTGCAGCGCGCGCTTAGAATAAACAATGATGGAAGATTATAATTATCATCTTTTTAGTTATCATTATTAGTGTGAATGGGCCTTACGAATCAAAACATCAAACTCTAGGAAACCTTATCGATCATTTTGAGCTCCAATACAGACCGTTAAACAATCATAACAATATGAATCTCACCAAACCTGTCAAGAACATGCCCAGTTCATATTTCACCCTGAACTTATATGATAAAAACAACAACAAAAAAATAACATTATATTTTGCATTACGAGTAGCCTATGAAGCCTATGTTTATCGCAGTAATGAGAAATCAAAAATAAAACATGTATGAAGACGTGTTTAACTGTCATTAAAATAATATCACAGTGCAAAACATCTTGGTTTAGGGTGAAATTTGACCTGTACATGTTTTTATGGTATTCACAAAAAAAAAAAAAAAAAAAAAGTACAGAAATTTGTATTAATATGTCTGCACAAGAACACATCCAGTATTATTTCATGCCAAATTCACAAGACATATTTTGCATTAAAAATAAAGCCTATTATCATATTAGGACCAAGATTTCTTTTCCTATAAACAATTTCAGTTTTAAAAAATACCTCCAAATTCTCAGTACTGCAATGATAAACAAGAAAAAAAAAATGCATTTAATTGAACACCAGGATAATTTGTACTGGCTTTTTGCTGATTTACTGTAAATAAAAATTAAATAATGTACAGTATTATAGGAATTATGACAAACAGAATAAAGTCAAGCACTCACACGCTACAGTATTGAGAGTTTGACGTTGAAATGTGTGAAAATAATGTTACAATGCAAAACATCCTAATGCTTTTGAGTGTGGGCTGAGATATGATCTGGATGTGTTTTCAGGATATTGTCTTTCAGATGCATTAAAAAGAGTCGCTGGCAATTTCTTTCAAATCTTAAGAAGTATGGAAGCTTGTTTTTGTCACGGAATAAAAAAAGGGTGTATCACAAATGTGAGACATAAACTCCCAGTTGCAAGTTACAAAGTCAGAATTGTGAGATTTTAGCTTTCTATTTTACTTAAATAAATGTTTTGAATTGTTTTTTATTTTTATATTTTTAGTTTTCGTGTTAATTTTGGTAAATTTTTTGTAATTTCATTATATATTGCTATTTAGATCAAATAAAATGTTAATTTTAGTGCTTAAACTAAACAAAAATTTAAAACATTTTTCAACTAATATTTACATTGTATTTTAGTTTTAGTTAATGATAATAACCCTGGAGATTTTTTTGATTCTGTGTTGAAAACAATCTTCCATACAGAAGCGTGTTAGAGCCGCTCACAAACACATATAAACACACCATAATTATTGAATTATTTGTTTGCATTTGTCTCTACCTTCTACAGTTCGTTAACTCTCATGTGAACACAATCGAAAAATTCAATCTGAAATCCTCCAGAGGTCTGTGGGTGATCGAGCTCCAGTCTGAGATTCATCTGTGTGGTTTAATAACACGGGTCGTGTTATTAAAAGCGTGGTTGTGTGAGAGACGTCTAAAGCCGCGAGTGAACCTACTGTTGGCCGCATGCACAGACACGCATCATCACGAGACACGACAGCATCTCAAACACTCAATAAAACGTTGGACATTGGCCTGTAGACATGCACAGGATTCCATCCACCAAAGACCCACTCCGGCAGGCAGTGTAATAGTGTTTGGCACAAACCGTTTCTAGACCGTTCTCTACAGGCGTGATCACGGATCAAATGACCCATTTATGAATTCAGAAACCAGACGCTGTATATATTTTTGTATGTACATTCATTTAGATGTCCAATTGAGATTATGGTTCATAACATCTTAGCTTTCGCCACTTCAGGATTTTGGATTTTGTTTTTTCTGACATAAGATCAAAACTGGTCAATCAATCGTTTTCAATAATAAGGATTTCTTTTAAACGCTTTTGAAAGAGTAGCCTATCTTCTGCTCACCGAAGCTGAATTATTTGATCAAAAATATGAAATATTTTTTAAAATATATAGTAAAGTGTAATTTATTCCTGTGATCAAAGCTGAATTATGATCATTACTCCAGTCTTCAGTGTCACATGATCCTTCACAAATCACTCTAATATGATGATTATTTGTCAATGTTGAAGATTGTTCATATTTTTGTGGAAACCGTGATACACTACCATTCAAAAGTTTGGCGTAAGTATACTTTCATTAAGCGAGGACGCATTAAATCGATCAAAAGTGAATCCTGAAAAATAAAATGCATCACTGTTTTCAACTGATAATAATCATATATATGCTAATGAGCATCGAATCATCATATTAGAGTGATGTGACTCTGAAGACTGGAGTAATGATGCTGAAAATTCAGCTTTGATCACAGGAATAAATTACACTTTCCTATATCTTCACATAGAAAACAGCGATTTTAAACTGTAATAATATTTCACAGTTTTTACTGGATTTGTGATCAAATAAACGTCGCCTTGCTGACAATAAGAGACTCGTTCAAAAGCGTTAATTATTCAAAACTTGAGATGCATTTGCAAATAGTTTATTAAGTAATCCAGTATAAATTTGTCAGGGTTTGTTAAAGATCACGAGGCAGTACGACAGCTCTCACAAACTCTCCAATGGGAAATATACATGTCCACACACACACACACACACACACACACATATCTGTAATACAGTGGGTCAGACGGGCGTGCGAGATGCCGGCGCTCTGAGACGGTCCGCTAGAGGAAGGCCACTGCCTGCGTCTTTAACATGCACATTTCTTCTCGTTGGCCGGCGCAGCGTCCAGTTTGCTGGTGCCGTCCGTGTTTTGAGTGTCGGCCGCGGGTTTGTCCACACACTGCTCCATCCTCTTCATCACCAGGTCCAGTAGCGTGACCACGGCCTTGTCCACCTCCGTACCGGTGGCCGCACTCGTCTCGAAGTAGGGAATACTGGGAGGAGGACGATGCAAACACAAACACACATCAGAGATGAAGCTGGATTCACGCACACACACACGGAAAATAAGCTGAATGTGTTACATTAGAGCTGCACGATTAATCATTCAATTCATGTTTATTTGTATAGCGCTTTACATAAAGTGTATTTACAATGTAGAGTCTGTTATCAGAGGAAACTGTCTAAGTTATGTGTATTTCAGAAATGTACATATACCAAATCACAGTTAGCTATTTTTGATTTATTTAAACAATGTAATGGGCTCTATGCACGGCGTTATTTCCGGTGAAGGATTAAGGATGCTCGATAACTTCCGCCGATCGTAGAGTTCAATGCAATACCGAGAATTGATATTGAATTTTATACTCCATGGTTATACTAATGAAACGTTAGTCACAAAAACAGATAAAACAGACACCCCTCGTTGTGTTTATGCTTCTTTTTAAAATTATAATAAATAAACATAAACATATATATAAAATTACATCTAAACGTATGTACGTTTCGTTTCAAAGACGGGAGGACAGTAAATATTAAAAACTCTGCCATAATCCCGTTTTCCTCGGTTTTCCTCCGCTTAAATCTCCACAACCGGAAATGGACGAGCATCCTTACGTCAAATGCGGAACTTATGCGTGCATATAGCCCATTAAAGGTAGAAACAATGAGTTCATTGAAGTAATTGAAAGATCTTGATTCAAAAACACACGTGATCTTATTCTTAAATGAAAGTGATTCTCCTGTGTCTATTAAACCTTTGACAAAATCACAGCGAACGTTCAGATCTGTTCTGATCCTGAGAGAGCCGGTGTCATGTGTAGATATGAAACAGCTTCACAAACAGTCTTTTCAACCACACAGATTCATTATTTCTGTCTTACAATCATTCAGAGTAAATTGCCTTTTGAAAGTAACTTGACGCGACAAGCGAGTCATTGAATCATTCAAATATATCGATGCCGTGACAGAAACTTTTAACTCTCACTTTTCCAGCACTTTAGACGCAGTTGCTCCGTTGCGCTTAAAGGGTTAGTTCACCCAAAAATGAAAATTCTGTCAGTATTTACTCACCCTCATGTTGTTCCAACCCCGTAAGACCTTCGTTCATCTTCGGGACACAAATTAAGATATTTAAGATATTAAGATCGCTCCTGCATACTAGTCCATAGGCTTCTTGAGGGAATGACTCTTGCTGGCATCGAAAAGTCATCAAAGACATGGTTAAAATAGTCCAAGTGACTACAGGGGCTCAATCTTAAGTTTATCAAACGACGAGAACACTTTTTGTGCGCAAAAACAAACAAAAATAACGACTTTATTTCAACTATTCACTTCCTTCTACATGGGCCTGTAGTCAGTTAACGTAGTGTGATTGCGTAGCTACGTCACACGTAGGCTCACTATTGGCCGACGCTGGTCATGTGTGTGACGCGTGTGACGTACAATAACAGAAGCTTACGCTATTAAACTAGTAACCTGACTCGAGGCAGAGGGAGAAATAAACGAATAATTGAAATAAAGTCGTTATTTTTGTTGTTTTTGCGCACAAAAAGTGTTCTCGTCGTTTGATAAACTTAAAGGGTTAGTTCACCCAAAAATGAAAATTAAGTCATTAATTACTCACCCCCATGCTGTTCCAACCCCGTAAGACTTTCGTTCATCTTCGGAACACAAATAAAGATATTTTTGATTGAATCTGAGATCTGGATCACTCCTCCATAGACTGCCTAAGGGACTGGCTCTTGACGGCCCATAAAGTCATTAAAGAAAAGGTTTAAATATTCCATGTGCGTACAGCGGCTCAATTATAAGTTTATCAAGCGACGAGAATACTTTTTGTGTGAAAAAAAACATAAATAACGACTTTATTCGACTATTCCATTACTTCCTTATGGGCGCATGCGCGAGAACTGAGACGAGGACGTTCTCATTCGTTTACTTCTTGTTACCGGCTGCTCACCGCTTAGGAGTTTTACCGCCCCCTACCGTATATGATGTGCTGATATAGCTGGAAGCGCAAAACTTTCTGTTTACAAGCAGAGGAAGATCTGCCCTGTACATACGCTTTTCAATTAGCGTATTTTCCGCACTATAAGGTGCACTTAAAAGCCTTTAATCTTCTCAAAAAACGACAGTGTTCCTTATAATCCGGAGCGCCTTATATATGGATCATCATTTTATACGGTAGGTGGCGGTAAAACTCCTAAGCGGTGAGCAGCCGGTAACAAGAAGTAGACGAATGAGAACGTCCTCGTCTCAGTTCTCGCGCATGCGCCCATAAGGAAGTAATGGAATAGTGGAATAAAGTCGTTATTTATGTTTTTTTTCGCACAAAAAGTATTCTCGCCGCTTGATAAACTTATAATTGAGCCGCTGTAGGCACATGGAATATTTAAACCTTTTCTTTAATGACTTTATGGGCCGTCAAGAGCCAGTCCCTTAGGAAGTCTATGGAGGACTGATCCAGATCTCAGATTCAATCAAAAATATCTTTATTTGTGTTCCGAAGATGAACGAAGGTCTTACGGGGTTGGAACAGCATGGGGGTGAGTAATTAATGACTTAATTTTCATTTTTGGGTGAACTAACCCTTTAAGATTGAGCTCCTGTAGTCACTTGGACTATTTTAAGGATGTCCTTTAATGACTTTTCGAGGCCAGCAAGTCATTCCCTCAAGAAGCCTATGGACTAGTATGCAGGAGTGATCTTAATATCTTAAATATCTTAATTTGTGTTCCGAAGATGAACGAAGATCTTACGGGGTTGGAACAACATGAGGGTGAGTAAATACTGACAGAATTTTCATTTTTGGGTGAACTAACCCTTTAAAGAAGATTAAAGAAAATAGTCCAACGCCGTGGTACAATGAGCACACTCGGGCCCTTAAGAGAGCAGCCAGAAAAATGGAGCGTTTCTGGAAGAAAACTAAACTAGAGGTATTCCGGATCTCATGGAAGGAGAGCTCGACTGCATACAGAGAGGCCTTAAAAACGGCTAGGTCTGCTTATTATTCAAACCTATTAGAAAAAAATAAACATAATCCTACGTATCTATTTGAAACAGTGGCTAAACTAACGAAAAAGAAAGCTTCAAGCCCAGAAGTGTCCAAGCAACACAGCAGTAATGACCTTATGAATTTCTTCACTTATAAGATTGATAATATCAGGGACAAAATTATAACTATTTAACGGTCTACTACAGTATCGCATCAGGGGGTGCATTGTTGTCTCCCTGAGGAAAGATTTGGTTCGTTTGCTGCTATAGGAGAGGAAGAATTTTGCAAACTCGTTAATTCATATAAATCAACAACTTGTATGCTTGGTACCGCCTAAACTACTGAAAGAGTTGCTTCCAGATAATTAATTCGTCTTTGTCGCTAGGATACGCACCAAAAACCATCAAGCTGGCTATGATAAAACCGCTTGTTAAAAAAACGCAACTTGATCCTACAGAATTAGTTAATTACAGGCCAATCTCGAATCTGCCTTTTCTGTCAAAGATACTGGAAAAGTAGTATCCTCACAACTGTGTTCCTTTCTTGAAAGAAATGATATCTGCAAGGATTTTCAGTCAGGATTTAGACCACATCATAATGCAGAGACAGCTCTCATTAGAGTCACAAATAATCTGCTCTTATTATCCGATCGTGGTTGCATCTCTCTATTAGTGTTACTCGATCTTAGTGCTGCGTTTGACACAATTGACCACAACATTCTTTAAAATAGACTAGAAAACTATGTTGGCATTTGTGGAATTGGATTAGCATGGTTTAAATCATATTTAGCGGACCGTTATCAGTTTGTAGCAGTAAATGAAGAGATGTCTTATCAAGTTCAGTATGGTGTACCACAAGGCTCAGTACTAGGACCGCTGCTATTCACTCTGTACATGCTACCCTTGGAAGATATCATTATGAAACATAAAATTAGCTCTCACTGTTATGCTGATGATATGCCATTGATTCATTCAAATGTCTATGAGACAGTCATTGAATCATTCAAATGTCTATGAGCGAGTCATTTAAAAATTCAAATGTCTATTGAAAGTAACTTGACACTTTTTTTAATGTATTTTTTTCCTTGACTTAAAGTAACTATTTCTTCAATTAAAGATTGTTTCATTACACCAGTAGGTGGCAACAAGTGACTAAAAATGTGTTTGTCATTGAATCATTTATTCAAGTCATTTATTGTATATTTGTACAGTATATTGTATTATTTACTATATAACAAATACAAGTAAATCAAAACATTATGATGTAGGAAAGTTACAATAATAGTAATATATAATAAATATAAATAAATAAATATGATGCTATTAACTAAAATACTATTTTTATTTTACTCTCAATATTTATGGACTAAAAAACTTTTTTTAATGCATCTTTCATCCAAAGCGACTTCCTTTGTGCTCAAGTTACACAGTTCAGTACCTGGGAATCAAACCCATAAGCTTGGCATTATATTAGTAGCATTATATACTTCTTAACCAACATTAATGATATAATAATAATAACAATCAATATTTAGCATTCATATTCCAAGAGAGAATGAACTCACCCGTACTTGTCCGCGAGTTCTTTTGCTTGTTTTTCCTGAACTTCTCTCTGGTCGGACAGATCGGCTTTATTACCCACAAGAACAATATCTGGATTCTCACAGTACGCGTTAGCCTGGAGCTGACCTACACACACACACACATGCAGTACAGCAGTTTTAAAAGTCATCGTTTCAGGTTTTAGTGTAAATGAAACAGAATCATTTGTCAGAATCAGATCTGATCAGAACAGCAGATCTAAAGAGCCGAAATGATCAGCAAAACAAAGTCAAAATGGAGTCAATAACCAGTTCTGACAAAATAAGTGAAGAAGAAGAATAAAAAGGAGTAATTATAGTTAGTTATAGGAGTGATTGTATTTAGGTATAGGAATGATTATAGTTAGTTATAGGAGTGATTGTAGTTAGTTATAGGAGTGAATTGTAGTTAGTTATAGGAGTGATTATAGTTAGTTATAGGAGTGATTGTAGTTAGTTATAGGAGTGATTGTAGTTAGTTATAGGAGTGATTGTAGTTAGTTATAGGAGTGATTGTAGTTAGTTATAGGAGTGATTATAGTTAGTTATAGGAGTGATTATAGTTAGTTATAGGAGTGATTGTAGTTAGTATAGGAGTGATTGTAGTTAGTTATAGGAGTGATTGTAGTTAGTTATAGGAGTGATTATAGTTAGTTATAGGAGTGATTGTAGTTAGTTATAGGAGTGATTATAGTTAGTTATAGGAGTGATTGTAGTTAGTTATAGGAGTGATTGTAGTTAGTTATAGGAGTGATGATATAGTTAGTTATAGGAGTGATTATAGTTTAGTTATAGGAGTGATTATAGTTAGTTATAGGAGTGATTGTAGTTAGTTATAGGAGTGATTGTAGTTAGTTATAGGAGTGATTATAGTTAGTTATAGGAGTGATTGTAGTTAGTTATAGGAGTGATTATAGTTAGTTATAGAGTGATTGTAGTTAGTTATAGGAGTGATTGTAGTTAGTTATAGGAGTAATTGTAGTTAGTTATAAGGAGTGATTTAGTTAGTTATAGGAGTGATTGTAGTTAGTTATAGGAGTAATTATAGTTAGTTATAGGAAGTAATTATAGTTAGTTATAGGAGTGATTATATAGGAGTGATTATAGTTAGTTACGGGAGTAATTATAGTTAGTTATGGAAGTGATCATAGGTTAGTTATAGGAGTGATTATAGTTAGTTATAGGAGTGATTGTAGTTAGTTATAGGAGTGATTGTAGTTAGTTATAGGAGTAATTATAGTTAGTTATGGAAGTAATTATAGTTAGTATAGGATGATTATATAGGAGTGATTATAGTTAGTTATTGAGAGTAATTATAGTTAGTTATGGAAGTAATTATAGTTCGTTATAGGAGTGATTATAGTTAGTT